TTGGAAAAAGGAGAAAGAGAAGAGGGGAGAGAGCTCACATCATCCAGTTATGCATACAGAATGTTAAGTAATCACATAACTTACTAGTAATGATTCATCTTGGTGATGTCTTGTTAAAGTTCTGGGCTAGTTGTGTCTTGCATCTGTGCTCTAGGCTGAAAGGGGACAAAAAACATCTCTGGTTTTGACTGCTTGTTAAATATTGCATAAGGGACTCAGTTCCCTTTTCTAGTGGATGGGGAGGCTAACTCTGAAGGGGTTAGTGTGCCAGGATGGGGTCTTTTGAACTGGCAGGAACAGCCCACAGGTGGTGGAAGATATCTCTGAAATGAGGAAAGACGTGTGCTTCTAGGCAGTGGAAAACACGGGGCTTTGCCAGCAGGCTGCTATTGACAAAGTCTGCTCTTGCCAACTGTAACCTTGGCAGAGACCACATACAAACCATACACAAGCCTTCCTCCTGCTGGCATTAATTAGACATTTCCTTTGGGGTCAAAGGCATTTTGGATCAGCATGCACTGGCCTATTGTCCAGAAATACTGTGTTTTAATCCTGGCTTTGGTTTATGTAGGTTTTCTTTATCCTTCCTGTGGAACCTCTGTCTGCAGACTGTAAGAGGAAGAAGCAGTTTTCTTTGGCCATGACACAATGGGTCCATAGAGCAGAGCAAAAGGAGAAGGAAGAGCCTTTTTCCTCTTGGTGTGAATGTCAGCCCAGCCAGCCCAGCACAGGAAGGGATCCCGTGCTGTAGGCACGTGGTGTTATTGGTGACAATCTCAAGTGTCATGTTCTTAGATTTGAATGTATAGAAAGCCAAACTCTGTACAGCCTGGGGCAGAGGAATGTCTAGGAAATGGGAATTACCAGATTATTTCTGGAATGGGGATGTCATAAGAGTTTGAGTTTCCAAGTATTGAGTGACTTCAGCTCAGCCCCATATGATGAAGAATTAATCTTTTAACTTCTCTTGCAGGAGGTCCACAGAGTAGCTTTGTCCGTGATGAGGGTGTGTCCACATCCCAAAGGATGAACCTGAGATCCTGCAAGAGGTCCCAGCAAAAAAAGGCAGTGGCTGCACGACTGATGGAGGTCTGTCTGTTGCTGGTTCATGTTACAACACGGATTTGAACCAAAACAGGTTTGAGTCCTGAATAAATTTAAACTTAGTTGGCCAAGATTCATAACACAGTCTTTGGCAGCAAATATGTTTTTATACATGCTTGACCCAGCATATGCACTATGCTGAAGACAGAGTTGGTGTGGGGTTCTCTGCCAGTGCCAGAAAAGCCAAATGTGGACTGCTGCCACCTTGTCCTCTCTGTCCCTGCTAGCATGGCCACATGGCCTTACCACATCACCCACTTCATTGCTGGGTGAGTGTTAGGTGGATCCACTCCCTAAGCAGCCTTTCCAGGGAGCACTGGTGGTAGTGCAAGGGAAAAGGAGGAGGAGGAAGTAGAAGGGAAAGGACACACAGAGAAGACAATATGGGAGAAGGAAGTGGTTAACTGCCATGGTGAGATACCATATGGGCTTAGTGCAGTCAGATGACACCTGATTTGACCTAGAGACAGCATAGTACAGTCTGTGCTGGGTCTGACTGAGAACAAAGCCTGCCAGGTCAGAGCTAATCCTTGGAATACATTTCTGTCAGCAGTGTCAACTTATGTTGCACCACAGCTTTGCTTCACATGGCTGCAGCTTCTTTTTCTGGCACTAGGAGACCCTTGGGTGCATATGGAGAGGACACTGCCTTTCTGCTTCCCCAGCTCCATCTTCAAGAACAATTCTGCTCTGACAGGCCAGTATGGCAGGAAATATCTATTCCTTGGCACAGACAAAAGGCAGGTCAAGACCTGTATTCCCACAGCTATTTTCCCCCCAGTTCATAAATAGCAGGTCTTGATGGATGCAAATCTGTGCGAAACACAAAAGCTATTCCCTTAGCCACAGGTGGTATAACAAGAAATGGGAGTAGCGGGAGCAAACCTCACTTGATGCTGTTTGTCTTGCCTCACATAAGCTTTGCTGTCAGTGGGTGAGACTTACTGCCTCTAACCCTGCCACGTGGGGTTATCACCACAATGGGATTGTCATGGGGAATGAGTGAAGCAAGTCCAAGCAGCAGGTCCTTTACAGGAACACTTTTGGCAGGGCACTCATGCTGTCTGTGAGGCTGTGAGGAAGTTACTTAGCTCACCTGTGTTCAGGTCTCTTCACTAGAACCATTTAGGATGTGTGTTGCCTCTTTCTATGCACATATACAGTGCTGGCAGAACTGGATCTGATGCAGTTATATTTCCACAGGGATTGTGTAATGCAAAGCACTAGCAGAATGTCATATGAATCGGAGAGTTTCATAGCTTTGGATCACCCGATATGGGGAATATTGTTGGGATAATGCAATGCACAGGCCCCTTGGCTAAGATTGCAATGCAGGCAATCAAATGCATTTAGTCACCATTTGAAATATTCCACAGTATCTGAAAAACCCTCATGCTGGGCCTGGCGCAGGAGCTGTGGTGAACCCCTAGGAGCAGCTCTGCGTGGCATCTCAAAAGGAGTGTGCAGCAGGTTGGAGCCCTATCTCACCAGCTCTGTTTGGGGTCCTGTACCCTCTTAAACACAATGCTGCCACAAAACTGAGCACTTCTCTTGATGTTCAGCCACAAAACTGTCAGGGTTTGAAAGTCCAGATCCTAATGCTGGGGTGTGCAGTCTATGCCTGTGTTATTTCTCCATTTGGTCTTGGGATATGTGATAAGAATGGTGCGTCAGTCTTTCCCTAAGCCCCAGCTTCACCTCCACTTTCATCATTTCCAACCTCTTTTGCCCTGCAATCTAAGATGAGGTGACCCCTCACTTTAAGGTTTTCCATGCAATCAGTGAATGTAATTTTGGCATTCCTCATACCGAGATACAGATACTTTGAGAAAATGCAGAAATCTGGATCCAGTACTCCTTAATCTTTCACTCTATGTTCATGCAAAAGGTAAAACATAAAAATGACAAAAACTTTCTTGAAAAACATAACATTAGGGATTTTGCTCTGATATGGGACTGTCCTAGTCTTTTAATAATCTTATAATCCCTCTTTTAAATATCTGCCTTTCTTCTTTCACATTTGTTTTCATTTTCATTCTGTACCCATATAGTTATCATTTCCATACATTTCATATCTCTAGCACTGGAATTTCCCATGTCTTATCTTTATGGCAATATTTTTTATTTTCTCATTATACTGTATGATTAAGTTGCTATGTAAAACTCTTTTAATCTGTTTCCATAAAACCTAATGTCTCTGGGTCAGGCTCATTAAAACTTTGTGGTTTCCCAGATGATTCCTTGAGGCCTAAAACACACAAAACCCCCACCCATTTGTCAGTATATCATCCCTATCAGGTATACTTGTAATACCCCAGGTTTGAAGAAGTGGAGTAGACCAATTACAGAGCACATTTGGGGGGAATTTTGTTTGCATCTGTGTCACTGATGAGTTAAGCAACTTTTTATTGGGGGATATTCTTGCTGTAAAATTTTGATTTCATATAAGCAAACATTTTGCAAAGGACTCCAAGATGTCTGTAGCCTTGTCTCCTGACTTGCAACCAGTTGCTATTTGGTTGGTGTAGCAGAGTGAAGGCCTATGTGTGTAAATGTATTTATTATCATATATTATCCTGGAGAAAACTCCCTGGCAGAATGGTTTTTATCTGCACAACCAGGGTGTTGGTGAGTGAGAAACCCTGGTGCATGTCCTTTTTGGCTGAGTGGGTAAGAGCATGACATAGAGTTATAGGATCACGAAGGTTGGAACAGATCTCCAAGATCATAAAATCCAATTGTCAATGCAGCACCACCACCACATTCCCCACTAAGCCATGCCCTCGGGTGCCATCCACATGTTTTTTAAAGACCTCCAGGGATGGTGACTTCACCACTTCCCTGGGCAGCCTTTACCACCCTGCTTTACAACCCTTTTCAGTGAGGAAATTTTTCTTTATGTCCAAGCTAAACCTCTCCTGGCATAAGTTGAGGCCATTTCCCCTTGTGCTATTGCTTGTTACATGGGAGAAGAGACTAACTCCCACCTGGCTACACCCTCCTTTCAGGCAGTTGTAGAGAGTGATAAGATCACCCCTGAGTCTCCTTTTCTCCAGGTTAAACATCCCCAGCTCCCTCAGCTGCTTCTCATCAGACTTGTGCTCCAGACCCTTCCACAGCTCTGTTGCCCTTCTCTGTTGCCCTTCTCTGGACATGCTTCGGGACCTCAATGTCTCTCTTGTAATGAGAGGACCAAAACTGAACACTGGATTCAAGGCGCAAGTCATGGAACATCCCTGGAACAGTTTGATTTTCCCTTGCAAGGTCACTCAGGTGACCTGGTTCCCTGCTCATGGGACCTGATCTGATTCCTCCACATGGTGCTGTACCAGCTGTGCTGACCTACCACAGGTGTCTCCATACTGAGACCTGTGGAGGTTTCCTTGGATCTCTCCCCCTGCCATTCATTTTTTGTTGTTTCTGGATATTTCTCTGAAGTTCGCTGTAATATTTGAACATAGGATTGCAGAATGGTCTGGGTTGGAAGTGACCTTAAAGATCATCTAATTCCAACCCCCCTGCTATGTGCAGGGATGCCTTTCACTAAACCAAGTTTCTCAGAGTTCCACCCAGCCTGGCCTTGAACACTTCCAGGGATGGGGCATCCACAACTTCTCCGGGCAACCTGTTCCAGCGCCTCACCACCCTCACAGTAAAGAATTTTTTCCTAATATCTAATCTAAACCTACTTTCTTTCAGTTTGAAACATCCCTCAGTATTATGACTTGTCAAACAGCTGTTTTGCCCAGGGGCCTGCCTTACCTTGGGCAATGGACACATTCCCTCATGAATGTCTGTAAGGAAATGAAAGAACAACCTGAAAGCGACTGTTGATTTAAAAATCTGCCCAAACCAATGCAGGCTTTGAGCAAACATGCTTTTCTTCATGCTGTATGTCACACTCATTTGGGAATACCTTTATTGTATGATACTTATCACACAATGAATAATGTTGGGTTGGAAAACGATGGGAAAGATGAGCATCATTTGGAAAGCTGGGATCATATCTCTTGGTGCTGCAGGGCATGGCTTTCCGGGTTCTCCCTTATGCAGTGTGTCATGCTTCATAATAAGGGACTGGAAGGAGGAGGCAGACACTGGCACTGAGAAGCACACAGCACCTGGGCTCATCAGAAGTGACGTATGCTTTACACACATGGGAAAAATCCTGCAACAGAAAAAAATGGCATCGATGGAGTGACATGACACATCTCAGAGAAGGGATGCCAAAAATTGTAAGGAGTGTTCACTCAGCTGCAGATCACTTCAATTTCAAAAAAAAAAGGTAAATGAGGTTGTTTGGATCTTCAAACTTCAAAGACCTCCAGTATAAACAGAGCGGCTGCATCTTTGTGATGGTTCAAAGAAATACCTGCATGCAAATACTTCCTACCATGAGGAGAGTTTGTAACCACAGCCTAAACTTTTGTCTCAAGCCTATTGGTAGCAATTTATTTTTCTTTTTCCTGATTTGGCTTCATCTTTCCATTTTCAAGGCAGGTCTTACTCAGCTGTGACTGCTACTTTTCATGATAAAATCTTATTTCCTGTCATTGGTTAGTAATTGACTGAATGGGAAGGGAAGGTGAGAAAATGATAGAGTGATATTTTTATGAATAAATGCAATCAAGGGCAAAGATGAATGCCTTTACCTATTACACATCTCCTGTTTCCAAGTATGTAGCCTGTTTTAAGGAGGCTTTCCATGCACAGATGGGAGCAGTGGATAGCCAGAAAGAAGGAGTGAGTAAGTAAAGGACTGAGTGAATCTTTGTCCTCTTAGCACCTGCAGTCTATCACTGCCTCATCTCCAGGTTGGCTTTGGATGGTTCCTCTTTTTTCCCCACAAAATTGGGCTTTTAAAAGAAGTTTGTAAAATCCCACTGTGTTCACTAATTCCTTCACAAATTTCAGTGTGATGCAGAAGGCAGCCACTTGTGCTTTCCAGGATATGTGACCTTCATCATCAGCCTCAGGCTTCAGCTACGTGGGAGGAGAGGAGTTTTTTTTACAGAAAGTAGGAAAAAAATAAAGGCATATAGAGAGACAGAGACTTTCAAGCACATTAAATCAAGTTGCCAGAGTCTTGAGATCAGGTCACTTTTTCAAGGGACAAGAGCAGACACAAAGTATTTGAGACCCCACTTAGAAGTGATTCCTGAAACACTGAGTTTCTATTCCATTTTGAGGGTCCTAACCACTGCCACGGACAATAAATATGATGTGTGGATATCACCATTGTATTAAAAGACTTCATCTTATATATTCATTGGTTTTTGACACCAAATCATGGCAGCATTAACTTTGTCTTAATGTATCAACTAAAACTGGTAAACTAGGTCCACCTCAGCTGCCAGCCTGGAACTCTCTTAGCAAACGAGCTCTGCTCCTGGCAAAGTCGCACGCTGGAGCGATTCATCGAAGACCAGGTTGAAATATGAATGTCTAATAAGGGCTGTGAATATCTAGTAAGGATGTAATTTTTACATCATCCACCAGTGGATTAAATAGACACTGGTTTTTGTCTTGAATGCTTGATCATTCTTTGTCTTGAATTGCTGATCATTCACACTGGAACAGGAGGCTTGCTCAACACAACACACTGACGTGCATGCAAATCTGCCTTCACTCAGGATGCTTGAAAGGCAGCTGGATTTCCTGGCAGTTGTTTCAACTGAAAAGGTAATTACTGGCCAGGGTACCAACAATGCATCAATGTTAATGCCGTAAGCGGTGTACAATCAAAAGGGAAATAAAATATCCCTTGAACTCGTTTAAATGTCTTGACTTCTTGAAAAATGAAATTTCATGGTTTGATGATATTCAGTAATTTGATTCTGTGTATTTTTTCTAGAGTGTTGCTGCATAGGTGCAATAACTTGTTAAATACCATCTTTTTAAGCCACGGTTTTATATTACTTAACTCATGTTATTTCTAGCCTTCAAATTCTCTTCCTTGGTTCCCAAATCCATTGCCAACAGGAACTCTCCCCTTAAGGGGCTGACCTGGCTGGAAAGGAGACCCTGAAGGGTATTTTCAGTTAAGACAGATCTGGCACTGGCTGGAGGCAGGAGCAAGGACAGGGCTCATGCAGCCACCTGTGAGCTGGCAGTGGCACCATGCCATGAAGAGTCCACATGGGAAATTAATGTGTGAAAATTAGCACCCTGTTACAGGAATGTTACTCTTCCAGACACACAGTAACGTCCTTGCTGGCAAACCCTTGGTTCTGTTAGCTCCCAAGTAGGCATCAATGAGGCTTTGCTCCCTTGAACCATCTGGGTGCCACCAGCCCTCTCTCCCCAGATCCCATTTAAAATGCTGAACACAAATCAACAGTTGATGGGGAGGGGCAATAAACGCCTTCCTCTCTGACCTGGAGTTATTTGGTAAAGTACAGGGGGGAACACAGCTAAAGGGGTGTCCTGGGAATCTCTTAATCAGGAGCAGCAGTTAGAGTTATACTGACCTATTACCACCTGGTGGGTTTATTAATTTGTGCAATCACAGCTAGGACAAATGACCACCAAATGGATCTGGTCTAGTGGAAAGTATCCCTGCCCATGGCAGGTGACTGGAACTAGATGATCTTTAAGGCCCCTTCCAACCCAAACCATTCTGTGATTCTATGAAAGCTTCTGCAGCCTACAGCCAGCAAGCAAACGGTGAGACTCCTCCTGCTCTCAACCTTTGGGACAGCTGTCCTAAACCTTACTTGGAGTGGTTATAGTTGCTGTCTTAGAATCATAGAACCATAGAATCAGCTGGGTTGGAAGGGGCCTCCGAGATCATCAAGTCCAACCCTTGATCCACTACTGCCGTGGTTACCAGACCATGGCACTGATGCCACATCCAGTCTCATCTTAAACACCTCCAGGATGGAGAATCCACCACTTCCCTGGGCAGCCCATTCCAATGCCTGATTACCCTCTCTGTAAAGAATTTCTTCCCAATATCTAACCTAAACCTCCCCTGGCACAGCTTAAGACCATGCCCTCTTGTCTTACCGAGAGCTGCCTGACAGAAGAGACCAACCCCCACCTGGCTACAACCTCCTTTCAGGGAGTTGTGGAGAGTGATGAGGTCTCCCCTGAGCCTCCTCCAGGCTAAATAACCCCAGCTCCCTCAGCCTCTCCTCATAGGACTTGTGCTCCAGTCCCTTCACCAGCCTTGTTGCTCTTCCCTGGACCTGCTCCAGCACTTCAATATCCTTCCTAAACCGAGGGGCCCAGAACTGGACACAGCACTCCAGGTGTGGCCTCACCAGTGCTGAGTACAGGGGAAGAATCACTTCCCTGGTCCTGCTGGCCACACTGTTCCTGATCCAGGCCAGGATGCCATTGGCCTTCTTGGCCACCTGGGCACACTATGGCTGACATCCAGCTTCCTGTCAATCCAAACTCCCAGGTCCCTTTCTGCCCTTTCCCCAGCAACTCTGTGCTCAGCCTGTAGCGCTGCAGGGGGTTGTTGTGGCCAAAGTGCAGGACCCGGCACTTGGCCTGGTTGAACCTCATCCTGTTGGAATCAGACCATCTCTCCAGCTTGTCGAGGTCCCTCTGAAGAGCCCTTCTGCCTTCCAGCTGATTGACACTCCCCCCCAACTTAGTGTCATCTGCAAATTTGCTGATGGTGGACTCAATGCCCTCATCTAAATCATCGATAAAGATATTAAACAGAACTGGGCCCAACACTGATCCCTGGGGGACACCACTAGTGACCGGATCCCAACTGGATACAGCTCCATTCACCACCACTCTGGGACCAGCCCTCCAGCCAGTTCCTAACCCAGCACAGAGTGCCCCTGTCCAAGCCGTGGGCTGCCAGCTTTTTCAGGAGTGTGCTGTGGGAGACGGTGTCAAAGGCTTTGCTGAAGTCCAGGTAGACACATCCACAGCCTTCCCCTCCTCCACCAGGTGGGTCACCTGATCATAAAAGGAGATCAGGTTGGTGAGACAGGACCTGCCCTTTCTAAACCTGTGCTGGCTGGGTCTGATCCCTTGTCCATCCTGTAGGTGCTGTGTGATTGCACTTAGGATGATCTGCTCCATAACCTTGCCAGGCACAATGTCTTACATTTCCCTGCCTGGTTAACTAGATTGGCAGGTTTTGCTAATCTCTGTTATGGAGAACAGGGAATCAGCTCAGAAAATGGGTGGGTTTGATTCTTCTTCTACACCTTTTTTATGGGCTGTGGATGACTTCACCGTTGAAATGTCCCAACATGTTGTGGCTCTGTCCTCTTGCATCAGGTGTAAAAGGAAGTACGGGAGATGCAGGATCTACTGTTCCCACAAAAGCTGTTCCTGGGCTTTTGGGACACTGTTAGACTTGTTGTCTCACTGGGGCATTGGAGCTGTTGGGGATGTACGATGCCCTGCTGTCACAGGCAGCCCTGTGTTAGCATAGCTCAAAGCCCCTGGTAGCATTTAAAAGTCAGGACAGTCCTCTAAACAGAAAAAATAGGAACATTGTGGTTAAAAATGGCCACTGGTCCCTCCAGTCTTTTTCTGAAGCTGCATCCTGCTAATGTGGGGACAAGAGGGACAGCTCTGCTGTGGCTGCCACTAGCCTGGGTGACTCTTTAGACCCAGCTGAGCACCCAAGCCTTGCAATGACCCTGTGCACAGGGGTTCATTCTGATTGCCAGTTTGTCTACCATTGCAGAAAGTGTTTTGCTGGCTCTCCAGCTGCTGAGAGGGGAGCCCTGGTCACAGTGCCACCATCCCTCGGAGCCACACTGACTGTGAGGGAAGAGGGCTGGCACCTGCTCTGCGCCTGCCTGGTTCCAGTGCTCTGCTGGATTTACCCTCAACCCCAGCATGCCCCGTTCTCCTGGTTCCTTCTCAAGGGTTTCATCACAGGAACAGGGTGCTCCTCTTGGCCTCAGCTGACCTCACCATCAAGGGGTTTATCCTTAGCTCTAACCTCACGTCTTCTTCCTTAAAGCCACCATTGTCATTCTCCACTAGGAACCTTCCATTTCAACCCCAGCAGGGCCTGCACAAGCTTCTCCCCAATATCTCCTACACAAGCTGTGCACACCCAGTCCTTTCTATCTTTTACTATCTTTGTCACAACTTCGCCACTTTCTCTTTCAGAGCTTTCTGACCTGGGTTTTTCAGCTGTGTTGTAAATCTGATATATTAATTTTGTGCTTTGACAACATATCTTTATGTCTGGGCTCTTAGGATGAGAGGAAACAGCTTTAAGTTGTGCCATGGGAGATTTGTACTGGATATTAAGAAAATTTCTTCATGGAAAGGGTTGTCAAGCGCTAGAAGAGGCTGCCCAGGGAATTTGTGGTGTCAGCATCCCTGGAAGATGTTGTGGTGTCACAGTCCTTGGAAGTATCTAAAAGATGTGTAGATGTTCCACTTAGGGACGTGGTTTAGTGGTGGGCTCGGCAGTGCTGGGTTAACGGCTGGATTCAATAATCTTAAGGGTCTTTTACAATCCAAATAATTCTCTGATTTTATGAAACCCACTGGGATTTTCTGCTACAAGCCTGCAGGGCAAATTTGTATATATTTTCTTACATGCTCTGGCCTAGATGGGCATTTTTCTTCTGCTGAACATAGAATAATCGTCCTTTTGAACTTTCCCCCTTCTTCACTTCCTACCAATGCTATTTTCAGGATTGGATTTCTAACTTTTCTTGTCTGACATATTTCTCTGACCTCCCCAGCCTCTGCCTCACCTCCCTGTAGAGTGTGACTTGTGTTATCATTCTCCTCTGCTTCTTGAAGCATGGACATGCTGCAGAAACATGGACATGCTGCAGAAACACGAACATGCACACCATGAAATTAAAATATAAGAACAAATTTAGAAAGAATCCTGAGAGAGAACAACTAATCCATCTCTCAGCCCTGGAGCAGGATCCTATCAACATAAATAATTCCCTAACAGTTATTGTCTAGCCTGTTTTTCCAAGCCACCCAGGATGGAGGATCCACACCTTCCCACATTTCAGTATTGTCACTGTTTGAAAATTCCCCAGGGCCTAATGTAAGCTCTCTGTGATAGTTTTTCCTATCCAGCCCTTGTTTTTGTAGACATATATGATATGACTGGGTGTCCACTGAGCACCTTAATAGTTTTCACCTTCTCTCATAGATCTTATTTTCCAGGTCTCTTATTGCTGCAGATTGTGTCTTCTCCTTGCTGTGCTTGGTTTCCTCTCTAAAAAAGCACATGAAAAGGCTGCAGCTTCACACCCTCCCTCCTTGAGAGGTGGAAAACAGGTGAGTTCTGTGTAATTCAGTGAGACTAGTGTAGTCATGTTGTTCAGGGAAAATCCCCCAGGCACTTCAGTAATCATCTTAAATGAAAGGGCATGAAATTAAAATCACCAGAGACAGTCACGACCTCTCATCTTCATATCTGTATCTGCAGTCCCACATGTAGTTAAACAGCAGGATCACCCCAATCTGAGTACCCCAGCCTGCCTGGGGACAGGGTTTTATTCAGTTTGAGTTTTAAGACCACTGAGGAGTGAATTTTAGTCCTGAACAGGCTGCAGTCAGAAGTTTGATTTCATTTCAACGTGTCTATGACCATTTCTGAGCTGAAAAAGAATTTCAAGGTGAAGATAGAATTTTCCCTTGTCTCCTTGAGATATCAGCTTAATGGACAATGGGGGTCCAAGGCTCTCGTACAGTGTGGTTGCACTGATTTCCATTATCACAACACTGTGGACTTATCTAAGAAGAGGCCCTGCTGGACTACTCAATGTATAGCAAAATGTAACAAGGCCACTGTCCTTTGAAGAGGTTAGTCTCAAATGGAAAAGCACATAGTAAGGTGGGAGAGAGAGAGGCAGAGAAGAGCTCTGCTGCTGGCAGAATATGAAAGCAAAAGAGTGAGTGGAAACATCAGTGAGATCTGTGATTTTTCTCTACGGATTTACGGGAAGACTTTGCTAGATCTGGGAACAGCACTCAGCTCATTTGCACATCAGTAGGAATCTTCAGTAGTGAAGCTCTCCCTGCTTTTCACCAAACAACTATCCCTGCCAGGTTCAGGGTGAGACTACCTTCCCAGTAGTCTGGATTTCCCTGTTATGTCCCCAGAAGCAACACTTGTGCTGGCCTAGAACTGTCCGGGGCAGCAGGATGGACTAGGTAGCCTTGGAATGTCCTTGCACCTTGTATTTGTGATTCCTCTCTGTATGTCTGTGTGCCCCTGCTGTGCAGGACTTGTCGTTTGGTTTGCCCTTGTGTCTGAAGCCCAGATGAGACCAGCATCCTCCTGTGCAACACACCAAAAAGTCCCTCTGGAGCAACATCTCACCCAAGGATTGACACTGCAGTTGAGAACGGGCACACAGACATTTCAGTTCTTCCTGGATGTCAATGCAAAAAGTCCTGGAGGATCATAAACTGGCTCAATCTGGTGCAGGACAAGAGGATATCTTCAGTGTGGGAAATGGTTTCAGTGAGGCAGAACATAAAACCTGTGCATGTGGGCCAATCACAAGTTGGTCACTGCTGCTTGTCATTGGCCCATCATGAGATGTCAGGGCATGAAAACCTGCTGTAACATCACCTAAGTTGTGACCAGGTTGCCTCACAGACAACCTGTGCTTTCTCCCTGCTGACTTGGTTTAATTTAAAACCCAGAACTACAACAGAAGACTTCCTTATCAACTTCCAAATGTTTTATATCAAACCCCAAACGCTGGAGGACCAGTTTTCAACTCCAGAAACCCTTCCTTGAGCCTGCTCCAAGGCGTGCATGGGCAGCCAGTTTGCAAACTGAAGCTGTACACTGCCTCAGAGAGGAAGCTCACTGCTTTGACCCTACCTGCTTTGCCTCTGTAATCAGGGCACGAGAGCTCCTGACTGATGGGAATGAGGAGATGGGAAACCAGCCAGCAAAAACCCAGCCACAAGGAGCATTTCTGGCTAGTCCTTGCTATACTTTGGCTCTGTGGCAGTTTAGTCTAGGCCTTCCTTGGGGACCAGTTTGTAACCAAGGAAGGGCCCAGATTTACCCAGTGTTCCCTACGATTTTTACGTAAGCCAGGGTATAAGAAGAAAGGAGGAGAGGCCTTCACCCTCTCTTTCCTTCCGGCAGCTTGGAGGTGCAGGTTTCCCTGCTGTTGTGTCTGTCGGGTTGGAGAGTGAGGCCTGGTAAGGCCTTGTCGACCTTGGGAGGTGGAGGTTGCCGGCAGTCGCTCCAGCGGTGACTCTCTGTTGTCCCAAGGAGAGTAGTAAGATATTCTTTGCTAATTCTTTTAGTTGCTAGATCTTGGGCTATTGATCAGTATATATATATATATACATATATATTTTATTTTGGTTTTGTTCCTTTTTTCCCTTCCCCCTTCCCTTTCCCTTTTCCTTGTGAAATTGTATATATATATTTAAACTGTATATAACTGTAATATAAGTGTAAATATAATCATATATATTGCTTTAGCTATCTCTCGGGTTCTCGTGCGGCCGCGGGGCCGCCCCCGCGGTTCTCGCTCGGGACCGCCCCCGGTCCCCTCCCCCCCGGCGGGAAAGGAGAGAGGGAGCTTCGCCGGCTGGCCTTGTGCCCTCGTGAGAAAGGAGAGAGAGGAGAGTGGAAGCCTCGGAGTACACAGAGGTTTGCCAGTCTGGTTTGGGGGGGGGGATACCAGGCAGGTTGTGGGGGTCCTCGGACTGGAGGGAGGTCAGGTAAGTAGTGCGTGGGAAGATATGAGGAAACACGGTGGGGGGAGGACAAGATCAGGGTGGATAATAGTTTCCTCTGGGGCTTGGAGATCTTGGTCGGGCTGGGGCCTGGAGAGGTCCTCGAGCCCTAGGTGGGTACGGTGGTCAGAACTGTTTCGCTCGTTTGTTTGTTTTTGGTTCACCCGTGGCTACTGCCCAGGTTTGGTATGTCCTGGATTTATTTGTTACATCCTGAAAGGTTGGTCAGGACAAAGGGCTGATCCTGGGTGCTTCCTGGGATTGAATATAGACAGATGGCAGAAAACTAGGTAGTGTAAGACTTGGCCTAATCGTTTGGGTTTTTTTTAATAGTAGGAATGCAGCCTGCATACCCCTATGTGGTTGCGAGCTATGCTGGCGATGGTACGTGCCTTCAGTAGGGTCACCCATGCCAGACAGGTCAAAACTGTAGGGTCAGATACAATAAATCTGTGGGCAGGATGAGCTCATTAGCCTTCTGGCAGTCATCCTAGGAGAAGGACAACTCTAATCCCAAACCCGGGCAGACGAAGCTCGCTTAGCCCTGTAAGGCCATCCATCTAAGAGAAGGTCACTCTAATCAAACCTACATCCTGAGGACCTCACTGCCACCGTCCAAGCTCGCTCGGCCCTGGCAGATGAACCTCAGGATTAAAGGGTGGGTTCAGTTCCACGCATACTGCATCTCACCTAAAAAATCCATTGCGCAGACTTGAGCTATCTCTCTCTCATTTCGGTTTTCTCGGTTGTTTTTTTCCCTCTTCTGCCTGAGGTTTGGGGTGTGGGTGGACTTCCTGTGGTAAGGTTTGGAGACTTAGCAGGGAGCCAGCTTCAAACCATATCAGCCTCTTTGGGCCTAACAGGGCTGTCCAAGTGATTTCTTCTCCATTATTCATATGGATGGCAGAGGCTAAATGGTGTTCAAAGTCTGCACCAGAGACTGCACCTGATATCACCAAGAAAGCCAGTCTTTCCTCATAGGCTGCATACTCTAAACAGGAGAAAGGCAAACAGCATTATTCATCTGGAGAAGAAGGCAAAACTTGTGCTTTAAAAAGAAAAAGAAACAAATGCTGGTGTTAGCACTCAGAAGTATCTATATTCTTCAGAACACTTCCCCAATCTCCACTTCCTTAAAAACACACCCTTTTCCTCCAGTTTATAAATTCCTTGTGGCACACGGTGCTGTGTTCACGAAGATTTGGCAGCTCCTTGTGCTTACATCTCATCAACATGAAAGTATCCCTTGGACTCAGCTTCCTCCTGGCTTTCCTGGACCCAGGTGAGTTTTTTGCTAGGACCTGCTGAGCTGTGGGACACAGAAGAGTTCTGGGAATGGGTGCTTCGTGTGAGAGGCTGTTCCTGCCATCTGAGCCATAGAAACACCTCATCTGGGGGGATTTGTGCTGCAGAGGGTTGACCAGTCTCAGGGGATCTTTGGTGCTGTGGGCCAAAGTGCAGATGAGGGTGTCGGCATTTACAACATGACACTGCTGGTCTGGCCAGGAAAGCTGTTAGAGTGACCCAGGTTACTCTGAGGCAGACAGATCTTTGGTCAGCTGAGTGGATCTCTGGACTTGTTTATCACAAGCTTAGGGGCCCATTTATTTTGCTCGTGTCCGGGGTTGTGTGACATTTTAGACGTTATATGTCATCTCGGCTGTCCTTCAGCTCTGCTACAGAGAAGCACACGTCTTGGAGGTCTTGGGTCATACCTGACACTCCATGAGGACGTCACAGCCACTGCAAGGTGCCTCAGTTGGCACCTGGGTTTTGGGAGCTGATACATGCCTGGGACCTATTAATCTATGCTCTGGACCCTTGCAGGTGTGTGCCATGGAAGACATCATATTTGTCCTCTGTTGATAAGCACTTTATTACTTTCTAAGTGTTTCCTGCTGACAGTCTGATATTCTGGTCTGCTTAAGGTGTTCCAGCAGGTAGTTGGTAAAGTGGTTTCCCCTAATGCCTACAGAGAGATACACAAAGAGATAATGCTTACAAAGAGATAATGTCTACAAAGGGATTCTCCAATTTTTACAGAGCACAGTCAATACTCACTGATAGTTCTTGTTCTCCAGCCACTCGGGTGCCCCTGCTTACTGCAAAGAGAGACTTTGGGAGTTGTGGATCAAGGGACAGTTGAACACCTGCCAGGACTAAGGGGTTTGTAGGATTGCTTTCATCAGCAGCTCCAGAAAAACCCCACCACAAATTGCACAATGAAACAGGAAAAATAAGAGAAGAGGAATGTGAAAAGTTCTGATCAAACACTGAAGTCAAATGGTAATGAAAGGGGAAGTGAGATCCCTTATGATTCTTACTCAGGAATATGTCCTCCTTCTTTCCCCAGGGACATGTCTTCAGTGTGAGGTTTGTCACAGCATAGGAAGAGGCTGCTCTGGCCCCATGAAAACCTGCACTGGTGGTGAAGATACCTGTGGCATCATTCTGCACGAGGTCCTAATAGGTAGGTGAGACATCCGCTATATCTGTGTGCCATTGTAGCTTTCAGAGTGGGGCTGGGGCAGGTGTCTCTCTCCCCACTTCTGTCACTGGTATTATGATCCACCCTTGGTTAAACTGTTCATTTTTCTTTTGCTGGCAGAGGAGCCAGAGATCAGGATAGTCCAGGATGGGAAAAGCTCTCTATTCCTCTATCTTGAGAAGCAGTTTCTTACTGGGAGGTTTTGGTTCTTAGTTGTGGAGGGGAGAACCATGAGCTACACTAGGCTGCTGACATCTAGCTCTGAGGGTGCGGTGGTGACATGTGGAGAGAGAAGGTGGCCTGCATCTAACCCCCTTCCTTGAGCAGGGAAGGGGACACCAGGCAACCAGGCATTACCATCGGGGCTGAGCTATCACTGTATCATTGTAATCGACATCACAGAATAGTTTGGGTTGGAAGAGACCTTAGAGATCATCTTGTTCCAACGCCCTGCCCTGGCCAGGGACACCTTTCACTAGAACAGGTTGCTCAGAGCCCCCGTCCAGCCTGGCCTTGAACACTTCCAAGATGGGCCATCCACAGCTTCTCTGCAACCTGTACAGTGCCTAATGACCCTCACAGCAAAGAATTTCTTCTTAATATCTAATCTAAATTTACCCTCTTTCAGTCTGAAGCCATTCCCTCTTGTCCTGTCATTCCATGCACTTGTCAAAAGTCCCTCTCCAGCTCTCTTTTAGCCCCTTTAGGTACTGGAATGTTGCTATAAGGTCACGCAGGAGATTTCCCTTCTCCAGGCTGAACAACTTCAATTGTCTGAGCTTGTCCTCACAGGAGAAGTGAGTCTAGTGTAGCTCATGGTTCTCCTCTCCGCAACTAAGAACCAAAACCTCCCAGTAAGAAACTGCTTCTCAAGATAGAGGAATAGAGAGCTTTTCCCATCCCGGACTATCCTCTAACCCACATGCCTCTAAGAAGCTCATACTTCTTTATTCACATTCTGCTGAGCACATGGTCCATCGCAGCAACAAGCATCCTGACATGGGCAAGTCTGGTCTACACCATCAGCCAAGCTCAAAAGGTGTAACGGGGAGTAGAACAGTTAAATTGAGCCTTGAGGTGCTTCAAGGATGAAGGGTGACTTTGTACAAGCAGAAGGAAATATGCAGCTACTTAGGAATTGGTGCAGGAGCTATTGGAATGGGAAGGGAGTTACCTTGTGTTTAACAACTTGGCACTGCCTTCTGCTTTGTTACAGGGGGGATGCCAATCCCTTCATCCATCAAATCCTGCATGCCATCCAACATGTGCAACCATGGCCCTGTCACCATGAACTATGGGAAGGTAAAAGCAAAGGGCCACATAGCTTGCTGCACGGGTGATGACTGTCGAACCACCTCTGTTTCATGTAAGCTCCCTTTTTATCCTTATAGCCCATCCCCTCTCTGGCCCATCCCAAGGTGCGGCCTTCCAGGCTAAACCATGACCTTGGTCGTTCCTCTCATATCCTCATTAACACCAGTTACAGCCCATCTCTTTCATTCCAGTGCCACCAGATGACAACGTGCCCAACGGGTACCAGTGTCCTGCCTGCTACAGCGTGGACTCCTTCCAGTGCGTTCAAGAAATTGTAAACTGCACTGGATCTGAAACCCAATGTGTTGACTTTGCTGGGTTAATGAATTCTGGTAACTGCCTTTTATTTGGGCTGTCTTTCATCTTTTTGGTAAAATGGGTGAAACTAGTCTAAGAGGAAGCATCACTGAGAAATAAAAACAGGTAAA